ATGCCCTCTCGCTCTTCCTTCCAGATCCCACTTATCAGCCCCGTCCCCCCTCCTCCACAAACACTGCCTTCATTTGTTCGTGGGCCGTCCTGGCAGGGGAGTTGGGGATTGGTGGGGTGGGGACTTGTGTGTCCTCAGCAGGACCTGTTGCTGGGCAGAGTGGGTAAGGAAGGGCTTTGCTCAGGGAGCCAAACAGGGGTCTTGGCCTGCAATGTGGGCAGACGGCAGGCTGCTGTCACAGGTCGTGACGTGGGCCTGGTAAGGAGCCAGAGTGAAGACACATGAGCCCTGTCTGAAGGGGGCAGCTGCCACTTGACTCAGCAGACATAGTGAGATGGTGGCATTTTATGAAATAAAACCACAAATCTGGACTGTTTAAGTAAAACCTACCACTAGTTTGCAAACCTGCCCTTCAGGATAGGGTTCATGTTCCTGGGTGGTCCAGGGCCAGCCTGGGTTGCTGAGATTGCTGCTGGGGCCCTGGAGAAGGATTTTAAGTAGATGTGAGGCGTGTTCAGACTGTCATTTTCAGGGTGAAGAGGAAGACAGGATCATGGGCCCCAGAACACCAGGGAGACCCGAGGATTGTGGAGAATCAGACGCAGGGGCCATGGGGACTGGAGAGGGGCGCTGGGTCCTGTGTACAGGGGCTCTGGCCTGTTCTTGCCTCCCAAGAATATGTGCCCACCGTAGTCACACCTCCATTTCTCAGAAGAGGCCAATTGTTATGTGGAATTCTAAATGTTGGCTCCAATTTTTTAAAACCTACGGGGCAGGGAAACAACGATCCCCACAGCCCCCAGCCATTGGTTCTGCCCTTCAGGTGCCTGTGGCCCTTGATGGCGAGAGTTTCTTTGTTCCTCCCAGGAGGCTGCCTGGGTTCAGATCCCGGCCCCGTGCTGGCTCATGGTGAGCCTGGGCCCGCGCTGGGCCTCGGTGGCCTTGGGTCTCCTGGCATGTGCCTTGGGGGTAAATGGCCTCGGCGCAGAGGAGGCCCTGTGAGCACAGCCTTGTTCTTGCTGTCATTCCCGCAGTGGAGCGGAGGCGAAGAGACAAGATCAACAACTGGATCGTCCAGCTTTCAAAAATCATTCCAGATT